AAAAAATATAGTCATGTGTTTTCCCTAGACTTTAAATTGGACTATTAGTTTTTTTTTCAACCTAGAGAGACAAACTGCAGACTCCCATTGGAGTGTGGTTTAGTAATGAGGTAAAAGAGTAAGGAGACAAGTTAATCCATAACTCCTAAAGGCAATTAGGGTGCCTAAAAGTGCCAACAGCCAGGGTGTTCCAGTGATGCTCAGTAAACAGAAAATTCAGGGATAGCAAGAGCCATGTCTTTACAAGCTCCTGTATGTTCCAGGCCCAAAGGCACCAGCCATTTTATGGGAAAATACAGTGATATTGGTGCCCTCAGTTACATGAGAACTGGAGTGTGCAGGGTCAGGATGAACCTTGCTCTTTCCCTCACCCTGCACTTGTGTTACCTGTGGTCAGTAACTGGTTGGGAATATTTGGTTCCATTTTCTAACAAAAAGCAATAATTATTGACACTGCAGCACCAGCTGTGCTTCCAGGGGGTTTGTGTGCCATGGAGAGAGAAGCTGTGCTGGAAAAGATTTGGTCCTTCAATTTCTTCCCAGAGATCAGACCATGCATGCCACAATCAATCCAATGTGGGTCTACAAACTCAGAGACAGAAGTAAATTTGATCTCCTGGTGTGAGGTTCAGAGATTAAACCAAGAACCCTGATACCAATGGCAGCCAGGATGGGAAATGTGATGTTACCTGAATAAAGCCTCCATTTCTTCAATTAAGAGTTGTTTTCCTTTCAGGAGAGACCTGGGATCCACAAGCCTGAGTACCCAAGCTCGGGTGCTGCCTGAATGAGCAAACTCATCTGTCCTGTGTCCTGCCAGGTTGGCTTCTGGGCAAATCCCAAGGCACGGGGGCCAGAACAGCACTAGGCTGCTGAAAGAAGTACAGTCATGAAAGAAACAAACCAAAAAAAAAAAAGTCCAACCCACTAACAAACAGAAAAACCCACCAAAAAAACCCCAAAAACCCAACAACAACCCTCCCACAAAAAACCAAGAGAAAACAAAACAAACCCAAACCAAATACCAAAAACCAAACAACAACACCACCAAAATGAAAACAAAAATAAAAATAAAACCAACCAAACCCCCCAAACAAACAAAAACAACCCGAAAACTCAACCAACCAACCTGGCATTTGTTAAAAACTCCAGAGGTAAAATGTGGAACTTTGATTATAGAAAGTTAAAATCTTTCTGTTTCAAATTCTTCTTGGTAGGAGTACATGGAGGTTTCCATAAACCAAACAGCACTGCATTTATGAGGGCTTATGATGCAGCAATGCTATTTTAATAATAATAGTGATGATTATCATTTTAGTTTTGTAAAAATTATCTCTTAATATGATTTGTAGCTCAGCAAAGAAGCCTCTTGTCTAGATTGCAATTTAATTTTTCATAATAAATTACAACAGTGTTAGAATTTGAATCAGTTGCTATTGAAATAGACACAGTGCTTTAAGCACATCATTTTTCACATGATTTAGTTTCATATTGTATATATGTCCTAGAGGGGAAAATATGTCAATTTTTTCTCTTTGGACTGGTGGGTGATGGGTATGGCTCTCTGCACCCTCAATCAGGTGAAATCAGGTAATAAAATCACTGTACAACAGGGATCTGGGTACCTTTGGTAGGTGAACCTCCTGTCTCCCTGCTGTCCCCCCTGTGTCTCCCCTTCCACCGCTCATCTCTGTGAATCATTTATTTAAGAATTATCATTAAAATCCACATTAATCACACAGCCTTCATGTATGTCAACAAACCCAACCAAGAAACCAACAAAAAGATTCCCCACCATAAAAAACAAAATAACATCAATGCAACGCAGAACAAAATGAGCAATTTACACAAAACCAAAACCACCCCTTGTCCTTTCACCACAATTACAACAGAAGATCCCTATGATCTTCCTACTGGCTTACATTGTCCAATCTGTGTTTTCCCCATTATCTCTCCAAATTACCATCCTTATTTCAAAATCCTCATGATCCTGGGTTTCAGCACCAAAAACACTGTGGTGGGTTGACCCTGGCTGGATGCCAGACAGCCACCAAAGCCACTCTGTCCCTCCCCTCCTCAGGTGGACAGGGAGAGAAAATACAGTGAATGGTTCATGAGTTAAGGACAGGGAGAAATCACTCACCAAAAATTATCACAGGCAAAACTGACTCGACTTGAGGATATTAATTGAATTTATTAGTAATAAAATCAGAGCAGGAAAATGAGAAATAAAAATAAATTGCAAACACAACTTCCTCCCCTCCCTCCCTCCTCCCCCTCAGTGGCACAGGGAGATAGGGTTATGGTCAGTTCATCACACTTCCTTCCCCTGCTTCCAGTGTGGGATCCCTCCCATGGGAGACAGCTTTCCATGAACTTCTGCAATGTGAGTCCATCCCACAGGCACCAGTTCTCCATAAATTGCTTCACTGTGGGTTATTCTTCAATTCTTCCATTCAGTCCTTCAGGCACAGCCTGCTCCAATGTGGGTCCCCACAGGGTCACAAGTCCTGAGGAACCCTGCTCCAGGGTGGGCTCCTCTCTTCATGGGCCTCCCATGGGTTCACAGCCTCCTCTCAGCATCCCTGTGCCCCTCTCTGGGTCTCCTTCCTGGGCTGAGGTGATCTCTGCATCCCTGTGCCCCATTCTGGGCTGAGGTGATCTCTGCATCCCTGAGCCCCATTCTGGGCTGAGGTGATCTCTGCATCCCTGAGCCCCATTCTGGGCTGAGGTGATCTCTGCATCCCTGAGCCCTCCTGAGCTGCAGGGGCACAGCTGCCCCACCAGGGTCTCTCCAGGGCTGCAGGGAATCCCAGCTCCAGCCCCTGGAGCAGCTCCTGCCCCTCCCTGTGCCCTGCCCTTGGTGTGTGCAGGGCTCTTCCTCTCACCCATTCTCACCCTGCTCTGCTCTGGCTGCAATTACATCTGCACTGTAACTTTTTTTCCTTCCTAAATTCGTTATCCAAGAGGTGTTACCACCTTTTCTAACTGGCCCAGCCCTGGCCAGCAGTGGGTCCATCCTGGAGCTGTCAGGGATTGGCTCTGCTGGACATGGCGGAAGCTTCCAGAAGCTTCTCACAGAAACCACCCCTGCTACCAAAACCAGGCCATGCAAACCCAGTACAGTGCCCAACCAGGTTAACAATGACATCTCAAACCAATGCCAGGGAACACAGGGAACTGTTAATTCATTGTCCAGGAAGTCACAAGCTGTTTGGGAAAGAGCACTCACACAGTCACTGCTGTCCATATGTGTGCATCTCCTTGCCCTGGTTTAATTTCTACCACCCTTAGCTCCCACCTCTACCCCTCCCTGAATTAACAAGTTGTTATATTTGATGCACCTTTCTTCCTCCCCACCTCTTTCTCTGTGTAGATATCAGCTTCTATTTGCTGTAAACCCACTGATTGCTGAGATAAGAACTGTGATGTTAAAGCATGCTTTTTTTTGATTTCAAGTCCTGGGACGAGTAAACACTCCTAGACTGGATGAAGCCAGGCAAGGAAGGGTTTGAGGTTTTTTTCCTCACTCTGCTATTTTTCCTTAGGGAATAATATTTTCCCCATTGTTACATCTCCCATGTAATTTTCCTTTACTGCCCTCTTCTGATTTAGCACTTGGATATTAGGCAGATTAATAGTGAATAGATAACCTGCAAGTTGTCCAATATTGTAAATAAATTGTAAATACTGCTGGCACTCACCTCACTCTGCCCATTAGCAAGGCTCACCATTACATCTCCAATGATAGCATACACATAAAACACCACCAAGGCTGCTAGACAAAAGAATCCCCAAGCAGAGTGGATAAATCAGAAAAATTTAAGCAATATAAACAGGAACTTCCATACCTTCTACAAAGTTTCATTACTGCCAGCAATACATTTTGAGATGATGTCATAACACATACATCACAAATACCCAGATGAGCAAGGCTTGTAGCAGTCTCTCTCCCAAACAGCCAGCCAGCATGTATATTTGAATATCTTTTTGACAGTACTTAGGCTGGAGGAAAAAACAACATTTTTTCCAGCCTCATCAAAAAGCAATTGACTTTTAAGCACAGGGTTTCATCCATGGTTGTTTATTTAGGGGACTTTATTGGGTTTAGTATTTTGCCATTTCACATTGATACAAACAACTTATTCTAGCTATATTTCAATTTTTTTTCTTTGCTCATTATGAAATTAAATAGCCTGGTATGAAATCTGAAATTACTTACTTTTATTTCTGTGTAAACAGCATCTCCCAATAAAATAACCTGTAATACAGTTATGGAAGGAAATTATTTAAGAAATTGCAATTCTCAGTTGAATTTGTCTGCTTCCTTTATAGACTAAGTCACCAAATCTTTATAGACAAATGTTAGTCTTCACTACATTTTGCTTTTGGAGTACTGGGAGCCTAAACTGGGGTGTCTTTATCAATCACTGGACTTCAGTAATCTCACTGAAAGTCATTAACTGTGTCCCCAGTTCAGAAATGCCGCTGCTGGTCATTCAGAAGATATGGAGAAGCTCAGTCATCACTTGCTGGATACCTTTGCTGAGCTGGTGTCTCACAAAGCATCTGACACACACAGGAACAACAGGCATGCTTCTGGAGTTCACAACCTTAATAACCCAGTTTTATAACCTTGTCTCAGTTTAGAGCTGCAGGGTCCTCACATCACTTCTGGCCAGGGGTTTATTGAGTGCACCGCACGTTGGAAACATCCCTTGGTTTGGGTGGCAAAAGCCAGGCTGATTGAAGGCTCACCCACCCAGAAACAGGGAACTCGGGGCCTGACTCTTGGGAATTCTTATCAAACCAGCTGGATTTCTGGGAGGGAATTGTCTGAAGTCAGCCCAGACAGACAGACAGACAGACAGATCCTTCCCCAGCCTGCCAGACAATCTTTAAAGCAGCTGCTTTAACCTTGCTGAACCAGATCTAATCAGAGCAGGTGAGACTCACCTTCTAATCACTGAGTCATAAAAAAGCCTTTGTGGCACCATGTGAGAAACAATCCTGTGAGCAGATAGGACAGGCAGAGAGAGGTAAGGGGGCACTGAACAGCACAGGAATGTGGACATAAAGAAGCTGAAGGGCCCTCACAACACCCTGGCATCAGGTGAGTGCCATATCATGGTGGGCTGTGACCTCCTGCTGTGCCAGGCAGCTGCTCTGAGCCACAGCAACCATCCAAACCCAGCCACGGGTAGGGATGTGATTGCTCACACCCCACTGAAAAAACTCCCATACTGAGGGCTGGAGTGTTTCCAGGGCCCCAGGCAGTGTCTCACTGACAATACTTCTGGTGTTTAGAAACCACTCTCCCTTAATAGCCAAGTTAAGACGCTGTGTATTATTCTTACAGCTCTCACTCTCTGACTCTGTAATGGCCCTGCTATTAAAACCAATGGGGTTTAAATGCAACAAAGGTAGAGCTTAAAAAAGAATCCCCAAAGCCCTACTATTGGTAGGCAGTAATGGCTGAGTTAAAAGGGGTGGTATTTCTCAGAAAAGGTTGCTCAGAGGGAAATTAGGAAATTCTGGAAGCCTGAACTGCCCATTAAAGAGAAGGTCCTGGCAATGGGAGTGAAGCGTGACAAGGCAGACACTGGCTGAGTGAGGCTCATGCAGGCTGTGGGATAAACTGAACAGAGGGGAAAGGGATTGTAGGAAGGTATGAGAAAAATGTAAGAAATCGGGTAAAAATCAGAATGAGGCATACAGACAAATATGGGAATATTCTCTAGAAAATGTTTCAAAGTTCAAAAGTGTAACCTTTATCAGGATTGATATGGACAGAGTATAACAGACACCAGGATTAAGAGAAAAATGTTTTTTATTTTTAGGTTTAAAATTTTTTTATAAAAAAAAATTAAAAATGTTTTTGTTTCTATGTTTTTATTTCTATGTTTTTATTTCATAGTCTTATAGGTAAGACTAAAGAACAAAGTTATGCATTTTTGGGCCAAAGAGAGGACAAAAGGAACTTAGGAGTACCAAAAACCTGAAATTAACTCTGGAGAACTGTAAGTACTGGTTTTAAGTACAGAACTAAGAAAAGGCTGGGTATAACTATAAGCCTTGTTTCCATAACAGGAGACCAAGCTCTCACTGCAGAATCCCTTCATATTTAAGGAGCTCAGCTGTGAACATCCCAAAATAAGGATTCACCAGCTTATGTCCAGTCAACTTCAGGTCTCTAGAGCAAGAGCTGTAACATGCCATAGGGGATGAAGGTGTTTCTAAATAAGCTTTAACACCTGAGGAGGTGTGGAATGACACATTTATGGCTCCAGGAATGCTGTGGAAATACAAACTGGCGTTTTGGCAGAGGTAGAGCCCATTCATGGAGTGCACTTGACACTGTAGAGCAGCAAATGGCTGAGCAGACACATGCCCATGTCTTCTCCTCTGCCTAACACCTCCTTCTTTCTTCACTCTGGTGGAGTCTGAGCAAACTCCAGTGCCTTGGAGCACAGCAGTGGAGCAGGATCAGCTCTGGCAGGAGAGCAAAGGGGTCCCAGTGCTGCTGCTGTGGGGCAGCTGTCAGCTGAGTGCTCCTGACTGGAAGCTTTGACACTGGCACATCCTCAGCAAAAGTCCCTCCATACTGGGTAATGCAGCAAATGACAGGAACCAGCTGTTTTTCAGGAGAAATTAAAAAAAAAAAAAGAGAAAAGGATATAGGTATGGACGGAAGAGCTACAGCAAGCTACTGAAATGCAACCCTAAGTGCTAATTGAGCTATGTTTTAAAAGCAAACTATTCCTCATTATGAGAAAACTGTAAACTCTTCAAGCTTCTGCTGAAACACAGTTCTTTCATGGGGGCAAGGTGACTACTTTTAATAAGGTGTTTAGGTAAAAGCAGAGTGGGGGAAAGGCTTCTGTAACACCTGGGTCAGGAAACTCTTGGTTATTTACACCCAGTTCCACTCAGCCAGAGGCAGCCCCAGGCACATGGGGGGTCACAGCCAGGGCAGTCACTTCTGCCACCAACCTGAGGTGCTGCTGAGTTTTATGTGACCAAAAGGACTCAGGTCACCACACAGGTCCCCCTAGTTATGTATTCTGCCTGCCCAGCACCCATGACATGTGAATCTCTTTCTGAAGGCAATATATGCTAAAAAATCACATCTGTGCAGCTTAATTCTTGCCTCCATTCCAATTACATCACAAAGTGAAAGCTGTCTTCCAGGAGATTTATGGCCTTTATTTCACATTGCATTGAGCCCATCAAAATTTAAGATCAATTGACAAGACGTAGCTCATGAGACTTCTCAGTTTGTGGACATCCACACTGTTAGGGAAATGGAAGAGACACAAACTCAGCAGCACAAAAAGACAAGGTAATGAGCTGGGACACACCTGAGGCACATTCTGCTCTCTTCTGCAGGGTGGAAAACCCAGCCACTAAAACAGATAGGAAGAAAACAAAGATGGAGACAGGATAACCTGCTATTCTGCAAATGATTGTTTGTTTTAAATGGGAATATTTCTAACCTCTGGTTTTCTCAGATAGCTACAGCAAAACCACTTTGTTCTGATCTTTGTTCTGATGTTTATAAGACAGTTGAGGATTTCTGGTTATTAATAAATTGGCCTCAGCAGAATTTCCTTTCTTTTATGAAGTGGTTGAGTGAGGCAGATTTACCTTGGCGTAAGAGATGGGCAGATGGCAGGGTATATAGGTCATGAGCTCCTCAACCTGATAAAGGAACTGCTCTGTGCCTGTACACTGACTGTCTCCTGCTGACTGAGACTGAAAATGTCCATAAAAGCATTCTTTACAAACAGAAATACCTGAATCTAAGTATAAACATACTGCCTAAACTAATTATTATGGTTAATTTTATATACCCCTTGTGAAAATAAACTCCCTGGTTAAAAAGAATTAAGCATCTGACTATTCCAAATATGAAAGATGCTCAATCTGCTGTTTTTTTCTATTGTTCATATTCATTCTTCTTATTAGCACCTTTGACTTCCAAATGGGTAGACTCAGACACCAGCTCATCTAGGATCATGTCAGCAGCTGTTGACAGTCTCTGGTGCTTCAGATGAGGAAGACAAAATCCATTTTTTAAATGCAAAGCTGAAATAGCCACTCCATTTTCTTATTTTAAGGTTTGTTTTTACAATCCTTTCTCTTCAGTTCTATGCATTGTTTAGTATGTTCTAATTGAGGATGTAAATATCTTTTACATTCCTCCATCTGGTTCTGCTCCTGGCCTCAGAAGTATAGTACAGTAATGCATCCATTGCTACCTATTATCCATTCTTCAGTTAAATATGATGTTTTATCTTTTTTGTTTGATGTTTGAATTGTTTGAACATCTTTTTGCTCTTGTATCACAATTAAAAATACAAGAACTTGAAATATCTTCCCTTTTTTAACATGCACTCTACAGCTACATATTCTCTTCTAATCTAGATAATCCTAGTATGGAAATCCTTTATATGGAAATTTTTCCACGTCATTCGTCCCAGTTGCTTCTAAACTCTTCTTTTCTGCCACTCATTCTTTTCACATGATATGTAGAACTGAAAGGTTCCAAATAAATGTACCACAAATTTATTCCATATAATTCCATAAATTCTTCCATGCCCCTCCTAGGTTTGCACCAATGTTTTCACTCAATTTTTTTTCTTTTTACTGGTTGTCATTAACTTTGACCTCTGACAGCAGTTCAGGTAATTCTTCCAAACTGCAATACCCACATTAATTTTCATCTGATGCTCAGTGACCTAGCTGAGCTATCTCTGTAGTGCTCTTTGGTCTTCTCTTGTTTTAATTATCCCAGACAATTTTGTCGTATTGCAAACGTTGCCACCTCACTGACCATTCTTTTACAGATTGCAAATTACATTAATCACCAAGTACTGGTACTCAGCCTCAGGCCATTCTGACATTTCTGCATCCGTCTCTCCATGTTTCTATAACAACTTTCTCTTCTTCCACAACAACTAGCTTTTTTTCACAGGTTTCTACAAAGAATTTTTCAGAAATTAAGTATTTTTTTAAAATTATTATTTTCTGTAGAAAATCTTGCATCTTCCTTGATGGAAAAATGTTTGTTCCTACCACATTATATCCTCTTAGGTGCCTCGTACCTATTCATAATTGTTTAATCCCATTTACCCAGCAGTTAAGCAAAGCTCAGAAGGGCTGTAATCACAAGATTGTCCAGAGCACTTACAATCTGTTCAGCTGTCTAATACCTTTGCAGTGTCTCTCATTTCCCATTTGAGCTGCAGCTCCCTGGAATAAAAGCCAGCCTGGTGATGGAGGCACAAGGCTCAGAGTCAGCTCTGGATCCTGGCTCTGCCAGATACTGGCAGTGTCACCTTCAGTAAGTTTCCTGACCTTTCCACACCTCTCTCCTTTCTTTTAAGCAGATGGTACTTAACAAAGTCAAGATTTGCCAGGGCCCTGTTTGTCTCAGTGCTGATTCCTGGGTTTTTTCCCATGCCTCCACCAGAGCATCACAAGCCAGGGGACGTGAGCATAGAACAAGCAGCTCCTCCGCACATCCCTGAATGCTCTGACAGCTTTCCAAGGATTTCCTCTCCGGGTGGAACAGGGAGCACCAAGCAGAGGCACAGCTTCAAACCACCCACCTCCAGGAGCAGACACATCTGGAAAAGCTGCGCTTTTATTTTTTTATGAAGCCTGATTATTAATGTTTTGTAAAATTCTTGGGGATTCCTGGTAGGAAAATTTTACCACCTGGTAGGTATTAGACTCCTGTAAATATTTCCAAGCAGGGCACAGTTGCCAAATGTTTGGGTTCAACTTTAACCATTCTAATGCTGGGCTGGAGGAAAATTTTTATAAACAACCAAATATTCTTGCTGTACAAATGTTTTACACCACTCATTTTTCTCGTTTCTGTCTCAATAGCCCCACTGTTTCCTCTCCTTTAACTGGTCCTTGTAATCATGCATTTAAACATTTTTTGTCAAATCTTCCTTCTCAAATGCAGAATTAAAGCACTGATATGCTACAGATACGAGTTTCAAGGTCTTCACATATTTAACATAATTAAAGAATCTTAGCAGTTTGTTCCAGTATTGTCATTTTAGCACTGTATTGGCTTTTGACTACATGAAGTGTTACACAGTACCCTAACTGCAGAAGGTCTGAGATAAATTACACCACTTGAACTTTTAATATATTTACTCAGGCAGCAGCTTGAAGGAAAGTTCATAGAAGCAAATCTATTAGGCAAATTAGAGTTGTAACTTTTTGGCAGCTTCATTTAAATTATTAGTCAAAATTAGTGAAGCAATTTAGTCCCATTCAAAATTATGCAAGACCAATATGCAAATAGAAGAGAGAGAGCTTTAGAAATGTAGAACAATTACTATTTGAACACACAGGTATTTAAATAAATGCACCACAGAGAGACCAGCCAATGACAGCTGGTTATCCTACAGTGTAGGCTGGCTTTGATCTCCATGTTCCATGAATATCTTTCCTTATTTCAGCAGAACTTTTGACTTTTTCTCTGCCAAAGCATCTAAATGGCTGACTTCAGAGCAAACTTTTTCTTTTCCACATGCTGATACTTGAATCAGAAAATATTATTCTGATTTTGTGTTATATTTGTGTAGGACACAATTCTTCCTTACCTCTGTATGCTGTGTTAAAAACAGATTAGTAAAATTGTTTGATCATTCATGCTGAGTTCCTGGCAACAGCCTGTCATACTGTAAAGATAACTTTTCACTGAGTATCTCTCCCATAAGTGTTTTAGGAAGACAGGAGAAAAAAATACATAGAATTGTAATAATTTCTCCATGTTTATGTCCAGTCTACATGACCTGAAGGTGCACTCTAAAGGCTTGGTGTATCCAGCAGCAAGAAGAAGCAGCAATGAAATTATCCAGGACAGGCTATATACTGAATTTGGTGGGGGATTCCTCAGTTAGTATTTCCCCTGCATTATCTCCCCCTTGGAGAAAGGTCTTTTTACTGCAGCAGTTGAAAATGAGCCAGGCATGCTTTCAGAGGGTACTTGGATTAAATGATCACCATCCAGAGGGCTGATTCAGGTAAACAGACAACACAAAGTTTTAAGATATTTAAACACACATTTAGCCCTACATATTAGAGGTCCCAAGTTTAAGGAGCAGATTACACACGTGATTTTTCACTGTGCTACAGAATTGAACCCCAGGGGTTTAGAAGTGTGTGGGAACAAGCTTTCTCTGTGCTATTTCTCCTCAAAATGTTTTCCAGGGCATTGTGCCTATCTGCCAAAGAATGACAAAGGTGCTTAAAATTGACCTTGAGTCAAACAAAGAGGAAAAAAAAGATTTAATTTTTAGTCAAGAACCAAGTTTAATCAATTATTTTAATAAGATTAATTTAAGATGGTCTCATGAGCAATCTTCTGCTATATATAGGGCTACCGTGTCATTTTTGTAACGTGGAAAATCAAAGAATAAAGAGGAAAAGGTAAAATAAAAATCAGGCAATGCATAATCCAGTATCTAAGAAACAGGGCAAACAATGTTACCAGCTTCCTCTTATTTGAAGTGAGAGGTTAAACTTACAAGGAAACAAAAATCAGAAGATCTTTGAAAACCTTTTTATTTCAAATGTAATTCCAATAAAAGCAGGGTCTGCTGAGGGTGACAGCTGCTGAGACCTGTGATGTTTTTGCACTGAAGATGGAAACCCTCAAGTGTTGAAATGGAAAATTTTTAATTACTTTTAAATTGCCAGCAGGTTTTTTTGCCTACCCACAGTAAATTATTTCTGTAAACACTTTCAGCATTGGGGAGAACGTTCCAGAGATGAGTGATTAGTTATGAGTGACATCCAGACACTTCAAAGTGCAAGACCTGAACATTTTCTGAGCCACAGCTACTGTGGGCTGACAGTGGCAGCTGTAGAGCAGCCAGGGCAGGGAACCACAGCTTTCCAGAGCTCTGGAAAATGCCAAGAGCTGGAGCACAGAGCCAGGTTAAGCCATGGCAGGAATGAATCACTCAAACCTTGGCTCTGTAGGCCTAGAGAATAAAGCCCAAAAATAAAACTAAGGGTGTAACTACACTGAAGCCTGCAATGGACAGCACAGATACCTGAGGCAATTTGAAATCAGAGAGCTTTCAGGGCAGCAAATTAACCCATGCACAGCTTTGTGCTTTCATATACAACAAGCTTAACCAGTGGGCACACTCTCAGAAATTTTGTCATAGCTGCTTTAGTTTATGAGGTTTAAACTAAGGCATATGATCTTAAAACTGGGATGTGGGGGATGCTTGGGGACCAATAGACATCCATTCTGGTTGTAGCAGTTGTGGCAGAAGCTCCTATGTTCAGTCAAAAATGTGCTGGGTACCTTGAGCAATTTAAATAATAAGTCTTCATTAATCCATCTCATTTTCTAGAATGGTTTAGGAAATGATCACACGAGGGAGGTTGATGTTATCATTAGTACACCTAGCCTGACAGACAAGAAAGGGTTTGAAGATTCCTTGGAGAGACAAATGTTGCATGCAAATTTGTGCCTGGCAGAGCTGCCAGAACCAGCTTTCTAAGGCTGGCACTCTGCAGAGCAAGGGACACAGCACTCCAGGAACAAGTGCCACTGCCAGTCACAAAGCTCTTGAGGAGCTGAAGGAGTCAGAGGCCTGTGAGAGTAATCACAGCATCAAGTTTTCTTCCACCCACTCCAAGAATGAGAATGGTGCAAGCTCTCTCCCAGGGATGGTGCTGAGGCCCTGGCACAGGCTGCCCAGAGAAGCTGTGGCTGCCCATTCCTGGGAGAGTCCAAGGCCAGGTTGGATGGATCTCTGAGCAACCTGGGATAGAGGAAAGTGTCCCTGCCCATGCAGGGGAGCTGGAATGAGATGATCTTGAAGGTCCCTTCCAACCCAAGCCATTCTGTGACTCTGTGATTCTCTTTCAGCTGCACGTGGGTGTCAACAGTTGCCAGCACCACAACTAAAACGGTTCATGCTCTCATTCCCCAGAGATAAATTTTGGCTGAAATTGGCTGTCTGCCACAGGGATCTGGGAAATAGTGCTTTAAAGAACAACATTCAGCTGCAGAAACATGATTTGCAAGTTAAAAGCAAACCTAGGAAAGTTTTGGTGGCTGCAGGCACGCTCACCCACTTAAAAACTGAGCTGTGATTCAAGGTCCAGAGTCAGATTTTACATGAATCAAGCAGATTAAAAAAAAAAGTAAACACAGAACGCAGACTTTGTTTGTCAAACCTGCTCTTACAAACAAGTTTTTTACAAAATGTAATTAAAACTATTTACATACTGTGCTTAGTATATTATTCTGTCTTTACTGATAATCTTTATCAAGCTCAAATTGAGGGGCGCTCTTAATGTCAGATGGATCATTTTTAAGATGTCTTTGAAAAATTATAAAATGAGGGAAGGAAATTCATTTAGGGACTGAAAACTCTAAGAAAAGGGTACAGAGATTTGTCCTGATCCTAAACAAATGAATTCATCAAGGAAGTGGTGAGACTTGCCATATGATACAGCAAGTACTTGTTCCCAATGCAAAGGAGAAACAAGCTTGCATGTCCTGGCTGGAAAGGAAAATCTGCAGTCAGCAGTCCCTTATCCTAGATGTGCATTGAGAGTATTCTCATTTTCCTGGGACAGTGCTGCTAGCAAAGATAACAGCTTAGAAAGATGGCATCCCAAATTTGAACCCTTGTGCTAGGCCTGGCATACCTGATACAGGAATGTCTGACATCTATCAGGGTCCTGTTTAACCATTCTATTCAGAAATATAAGTTTAGTCATATAACCATAACCTCCATTATCTCCAGCCTCCACAGGCCAGAAGAAAATGTTAAAGAACACACAGGAATGGATGCCAATTCTGATCTGTACCTAGTGCTGTTAATAATGGAGTGGCACCATTGTAACATGACTTGTTACTGCTTACATTTTATTCAACTGAAAACTGAAGAGTGGCTGCTCTTGAGTGTTTACTAGGAATTCATGTCAAAGTCACAACAACCAGCAGATAAATGGGAAAAAATATGAAGTAGGGGAAGGTAAAAGAGAAGCATAATCTGGGATACCAGGAGCTGTCACCATTTTGTAAGAAACAACGGTGGGAATGAAGAGCAATGACTGCAAACAGCAATGATGTTGTAAGAAACATCCTGTGGCCAGAGACAAAGCTTGACACAGCAGGTGGACAGATGCAGAGGAATACATGACACTTTCTCCAAAGGAGGAGTCCCAGCACTGCCATCTCACCTGAGAATTTCTGACAGCCAAGAGCCACAGCAGGCTGTGTCACTGCCATATTTTCTGAAAAATCCCTTTGCCAGGATTTCTTCTCCTGGGAAGCTGAGAAGCCTCAGAGAAAAAGGAAAACAATAATTATCTGATTCGCTTCTCCTGTGTTCTGCTGCTTTGGACATTGTTTACCAACTGGTCATTGATTGGTTTCATGTGAATTGTTTTAATTTAATGACCAGTCAAGGTCCAGTTGTGTTGAGGCTCTAGAGAGAGTCACGAGTTTTCATTATTATCTTTTAGCCTTCTGTCTGAATCCTTTCTCTATTCTTTAGTATAGTTTTAGTATAGCATTCTAGAATAGAATGGAATGGAATGGAATGGAATGGAATGGAATGGAATGGAATAGAATAGAATAGA